ATAATAATAAAAAAAAATAAAATATACTTCAGAGCATATTTTTCGAAACAATATTCTCCCACGGACATATAGTTCTGCCAACATTCATAACACGTGAAAAACTTCACCTATCGATCTAGCGTACTCCAAGTTTGCTCGCAGGAAACCGCTAGTATAACATCTACCGAATTACCATAAGCCACAATTCGGAGATGCAGCCATAAATAACAATCCAAGCTACACAAAATCCAAGTCGACGCATAAAAGGAAGAATTTTGGAACCGATATTTATACGTCCCCCAGCCTCTCGACGGACCGTACGTGCTCGTAAATTTTCGCCAAGTCCATTTCTGAAATGGCCTGTACCCGTGTCTGCGTTAGACGAGATTCCCTGGAAGAAAACGCGATTATTCCCCGGCACTGTGTTATCACTCGGTTCGTGCGTTGCAATGCGAGCGTTATGTTAACATAATTAAATGGGGGAAAATACTTCGATAAAATCTCCACTTCACGGGCCGGAAGCTCGGCGCGGAGTTGCTAGTCGCGTTAATTCGTGCTCATTGAACGATTACAGTCCTATTTACCGAGCGGAATCGTCGAAATCAGGCCATTTCGCAGTCCTGTCATATTCGACGTTCTGACCGAGGAATGCTGCACGAATTACTTTGAAGAATCGTAGTCCAATGTTCGAATTTCACGAATTCTTGTAGCAGACGAGGATATCGCGACGTGGAGACACGAATCTGAATTACTTTTGAATTTGACTTCGATACGCGAGTTCTGAAACCTACGTGGCGCGTTTCCATTAGCGGGTTCACGATTCTGGTTCTGGGGATTAAACCCAAGCTTGAGATGCCGGGTTTAAGCACGGGAAGAGGGATTTTAAATGGAAATTTATATCAACGTTAATAATAGCATTGTTGGTACTGATAATTAATAGTAATTATCGTTGATACGCGGTTACGTCGATATTAATAATATTAATATTGATAATATAATAATAATATACAGGGTGTCCCAAAGGAACGTATACATACTTTAATACTTTATTCTTTCTAATTTATTTTTTCTTTTCTAGGTACAACCCATTTAAAATAATAACTGATTTTAGACTAGACTTTGAAGAACGTAATAAAAAAATAAATCTTTCGCATAAACGTAATAATAATAAACGTAAGAAAAAAATAAAAACTGCTTTTATAATCACGCAAAGTGTGTATACATTTTTTGGGACACACTGTATAATTATTATTTCATTATCATGATATTATTAAAGTGATACAATGGAATTAAAGAAGTATGAATAATTATGATCCGGTGTAAGTAAAAATCAGCCATTTTAACTTCTTTGGTGGCTGCAGTGTTAATATTGATAATATTAATATCGTTAATTAGCGTGATATTAATACTATCGATATTACACTGCTGATAATAATAAGATTACATATAATTTTAATATTTATGATAATATTATCACTATCAATAATTTCGTTACGTTAATATTGACAGTAACGTTGATAATAGCAATAATACCGATATTAATATCATTTGATATATTACTGATATCGTATTATTAATATTAATAATATCAAGAATATTAAATATCGCGAAAAAGGAATTTTGTTTTTCTAAAAAAAAAATAAAAAAGAGAGCAGTGTAAAAAGGAAAAATAAATTCCCCTTGCGTTTCGTGTTTCGAGAAACGTCAATGAAACATGATTAATCACGAGCACCGTAAGAAACACAATGATAAAGAACCTTTCAGTATTGTGAAAAATTAAGGCGAGAAATAAAGGAAGAAAAATTGATTACCGGGTCAGCGAGGACCCATGAACGTCGTCAGAGTGTTAATTACGTTTAACTCGAGTCGATCGAGTTAAACGAATAATCCCGTCGTAAATTAACGATTAATAAATTAATAAATTATTAATTAACGTCGCACGTCTGGCCATAGAACGTCGAGCAGCTAAAATCGATTTCGTTTCAGGCTGACTTTTCACCACGATAGAGTGAAATCAGCAATGACTGTACGAACAAGGCAGCGTTCGTCAAGTATGACTCACGATTTCGAAGCCTTTTTCAATAATAATATCCGTCTCTGCTCGAAATAAAGAACTGCGTTGCGACCGTATACAAACGCAAAATGGTCGTTCGAGAAAGTTGAAAAAGATAGCGTAATAACTATAAGTAACTCACACGCGTTCTCATATCGCTGGTAAAAACAGGAAAAAGTGATTTTCTGCATCCTACATTCGAGAAACGTGCCTGCAAAGGTTGTTGCTAAAAATAATTAATGCTGCAAGCCCTGTTTCCAACAGCTGAATAATTAATAAGAAAAAATTCCCAAGTATTGTCTTCGTGCAATTTATTATTTACTTCTATCTAGAAAAACGTGGTTAATTGGTTCTTAAAAGATACCTAAAATTTCACTTTCTTGCAATGAAAATTATTTTTCAGTGCTTAAGTAATTAATAAAAAAATTCCCAAGTGCTTTCATGGAATTTATTATTAACTTCTACCTAAAGAAAATTAGTTACTAGGTTTTTGAAAGTATAAAGATATCTAAAATTTCACTCTCTTGCAATGAAAATTATTTTTCAGTGCCTGAGTAATTAATCAAAAAAATTCCCAAGTATTTTCATGGAATTTATTATTAACTTCTACCTACAGAAAATTAATTACCAGGTTTTTGAAAGTATACAGATATCTAAAATGTCACTTTCTTGCAATGAAAATTATTTTTTAGTGCCTGAGTAATTAATAAAAAATTCCCAAGTATTTTCATGGAATTTATTATTAACTTCTGCCTAGAGAAAATTAGTTACTAGGTTTTTAAAAGTATACAGATATCTAAAATTTCACTTTCCTGCAATGAAAATTATTTTTCAGTGTCTCAGTAATTAATAAAAAGATTCCCAAGTATTGTTTTCATGGAAATTATTATTTACTTTTACCTGGGAAATCGTGGTTAATTGGTTTTCAAAAATATACAGACACCTAAAATTTCTTTTTCCTTCAATGAAAATATAGATTTCGTTATCTGGAGTTTAACAGTGGAAGACATGTGACCTCGTTACCTACGCTATAATTTACAAATTTAAGCATGTGAAAGTTACAAGGTTGTAATTTGCTACGTTTTTAAGTCTTATTACTTACACGCAGTGCAAACAGTTTGATCTTAATCTCTTGGCTCAATAATAAAGATATAAAAACAAGGTGGAAATTTGTAAATCCACAATAAAATTTTTTTTTGACGCTTATAAGGAGTAACTGCAATTTAAACACCGCTTCCAAACAACGTTTAATTGCAATATTACCAATTTATATCAATTTATAAACCTTTTACTGCCATAAGTAATGCAAGGATCGCAGTTTTTGATTGTAGAGATATCCAAATAGGGTGAAAACTGAAATTCATAATATCATTACGAATTCCACATGAAATTAAATCTTAATTTTCATTAATTTAATTTCAATTCAAGTTAAACTAAACTAAAGTTTTAAATTTTACACAATATTTATCATCAAGCAATATAAATTGCTTATATTATTATAATATGTATTATAATATATTATAATATATATTATAACGTCATTGTCCATTTTATTACATCAATAACTATACAATATAAATAATACAACCACAATCGTCCACTTAATAAATACACTAGTAACCTAAAACACTAGGAAATAGGTTACGGACTGTAGAGTAAACAAAATGGTAGATAACATGGTACTACACTTCCTATGCTTAAAAACGCGCATAAACATTATACTACTATGATAGGCCCTGACTGGACAATTTCAACAACGACACGGAACCAGCGGAACACTATCATAAACAATTTCATTGTAATTCCACTGAGAACGGGACCACGATTGCATAGGGTTGAAATCACGGTTAAAACTGGAACACGAAACACATCGGACTTATCTCGGTTGTATAAATAAAATTTTAATAAAATGATGTCGCAATGCTTCCGTTGCGATCATAAAATTCTCCCCGCCGGCGGCAGCTCTTCATATAGGGTGTAAGTCGCGGTACACGAGTCATCGTGGGACTACCGTTTGCGGAATAAAAGCCGCTCCGCGAGAAAACCTATGATATGCAGAGCACGTAACTGACAACGGCCGACGGCTAGCACCCCCTGTTTCACGGTCGAGAAATCTTGGGGATCGTGAAAATTTACTTTTTCCACCCCGCGACCGTGTAATCGCATTTCCGTGCAGAAAAATTCACCTCTTGACCGGAAGCGGGGAGGTTATACGAGGCAAATCGCGGCTACGGCACTTTGAAACGTGTCCTATACCTTGGAGGACTACTTCACCACCGATGTACAAGATTACGTGGAACGGCGTAATAGTCATTGGTAAAACTAGGTTCGATTCTTCCATGTGGAAAGAGCGTAATTCCAGTAACAAGATTCGGTAACTAACGTCCTGGTAATGAACGTTAAAGAACATTTCTATTGCACGTAAAAACTGGGCAACGACGATGCATCGAAAGCGACGGTTAGCAAGCAGTTTCCCAACGCTGTCCGTCGCTTGCCGTCGGCTAGAAATGCGGGTAGCGTTAATTACGACTACAACTTAAAATTTGTCAACGGGATCGCTTCGTGATCACTTCTTATCGGACACAAGCATGGCTACACACACATAGGGACACACACGTACACAAACACGATAATATATAAGCTCACAATAAGGCACTATATATGCACGTAACAATCTGTCGAAAGTAACCGCGAGACGTTGCCTGTGAGCAACAACAGCAGCATGACATGCTTGCTAGTGGCTTCCTTCGACCGACGATCGGTCAAAACAAATTCAAGCCACGACGAAAGACTGGATGGTACGAAGGACTAACATAGGGCGATCCTAGCGAGGTTCGGTCAAACAAAACATCGCATGGGATGAAAGCACAGAAAGAGAGAAAGATGGAAAGTAAGCAATAGAAAGAGACAGAGAAAGGAAGGAAGAAGAGCTGGAGGCACAAAGAGTTCTCGTAGCAGGTACGCTTACCTCTTGGTGGCGTCGAGCAATGCGCCCTGAAAGCACTTAGCACCGTGAACGAAGGACACGACGATGATGTCCGGTAGCGCGGACTCAACGGTCACGAGGATCTTGTCGCCCCTGGCGAGCGTGAGCGCGGACAGGGCCACCGTGTCCGCCGCCATCTTGGCTCGTTAGAATTATTGCTCCTCGCCGTGTCGAGACCCGTCGTCTCTCTCTCAACGGATGACGTGAGGAGCGGCTGGGGCTGCCTCACTCTCCTCCGTGTGTACGGAGGCCATGGGCTCTGCGAGGCATGCTTAGGGTGGGGGAGACAGGAGGGCAGTCTCGGCCTGCTTGCTTGCTCCCTTGCTCGCTTGTTCGCTCGCTTGCTTTCCTAGCAGCCACCACTGCCAGCCGCGCCGCATTTCACGTTCGTGCACAGCTGGGCACTTGCGCCTCACTGCGCATGCGCTCCTCGCTGCTCCCACTCCGAAGATACAGACTCGTAGCACATGGTTATAGGCCCACGACCCTGCATGAAATTATACGTATTTTGTAAAATTATTTTTTTACTGCAGAGTGGAGGATATAAATAATTGTTCTTGAAAATTTGATAGTATAATATTAATAACATTACGTTTGAATAAATATTAACTAATCTGTTCTTTTCAGTAATGTATTGTTCTTTTCATTTGGGTAATAATTAAATTATTATTGAAAAATCAAGATGGTTAAAATTACAAGTTTTACAATTTGTTAACTTTATAGTATAGAAATCATGAGATTATAATAATATTTACTTGTTTTAATTTAGCAATTTTTTAAAAGAACTTATCTATCTAAATAAATATTTTAAAAGACGGAATATGTACATCCATGTTTATAATAATTGTAATATAATTTTTTAAAATATTAAAAATTTAATTTGGAAAGGACGATGTAATTAATATATCGTTATACGGCACTGTACTATTTTGCTTCAGGACAGTATAAACCATCTACGGTGCCCTTCTCCTAAGCAAACAAACCCCATACAGAGGGTAGTGTATGTTTCCCCTCATGACTTATTCCGTTTATCCAGCAGAATTTCAGCCAACTGATATCAGATAGAATTTTCTTTTACACGTCTCATACCCGGTCTAGATACACCACTATTACACACATACTTTTCGTAAGCATTCTTTCTCCATGGTATGGTGGGGACAGCTTGGAAGAATGAACCACTACTCCCTATAGAAACATATTCCACGTTTGAAGACCAGATATGCATACTAATTAGAATAAATTTGATAAATGTAATGTGATGTATGGTGGAAAAATATATAACAATTAACGTATATATAAATGACAGATAAAGAAAATACTTTTAGACATATTTACAGGAGTTTACTATCATATTTAATTTTAATCGTTATTCTAAATGTAATATAAATTTTGTTTTATTAGCTAGTAATATCGTTGTTAAGTTTCACTTGTAATAAATAGCCTTTTTTAATTTATAAGGAATAAATAGTTCAGTATTAAATTAATAGTGTATAGTTTAGTATTTACTGCTCACATATTATGTCTAATATGTGAAAAGCTAGCTAGAATGTGATATGTGAAATGAAAATCTAGGACGAAAATAAAATTTTATTGATAGTAAATGTCACGAAGAAATTATTATCATAGCAAAAGTCTGTCTTTCTAAAGTGATTGCAGCTACTTGCTTTTTTGATTCTACATCTTTCCACTTAGTTTTGATAAAGGAAGATAAATGCTTAATGAAGCAGGAACTTGACTCATGGTTAGATCATAGTTTGGTGATGAACGTATGGAGAAATTTCCATAAATAAATACCTTTTACAGATATCGAAGAAATTAATTTCGCAAAGTGTATTGCTAAAAATAATAAAAGAAAAATAAAATATAATTTTTACTCTTCGTGTGTAATCGTTTAAAATAACAAAAATGTTGTTAACGTATTACCGGAAATGTTAACCTATAAATTGCAGAATAACTTTATCGGTAACGATAAAACGAATGACACAAAAACGTTAAATTGACGGAGCAACTTTAATTCACTTTCGAATTTTTTTCTGAATACATTTATTAATGCCATTAATCTCTAGTCTTATGAGTAGAACTAGAGTCCAGAGAGAGACAAGCAATAACCTAAACGGGGAAATAGCAAGACCCCGAAATTATATCACGAATATTACGAAACAATAATTCGTGACAGTTTTAGCTACAATATGGTGATGCGGAACAAACGAGGTCGAGTTCTACTTTTCGTGAGCACGGAAGTGTACGGCTTAGTCGGCCTAGTGCACTAAGTTTTCGTACACTGGCCGCGTTGCAGTGGCCACGAAAACGACAAAACCGGACATAACAAAGGGAGACAAAGAAGGAAAGAAAGAGAAAGATAGGAAAGGAGACGACGAATGGGAACGAGTAGCTTCGTCGGTAAAGAAAATCACGCCACGAACATTTCAGGAATTCGACAGGAGCGCCCATGAACTTGATTTTGTCCGCTGACCTCCGTACTAAGCGTTGTTTAAACTTTCTCTGGTCAGTTTGTCTCGTAACTTTAACAAAGGGATTTGGAATCTCATACACAAAACGACGAAGTTCAACATCGAAAACGAGAATGCCGTCAGAGATGAGTGTCAATTGTTGAGAACAGGGTCGAAGGCTCAATAATGTGGTTTAATGAGCTTTATCTGCACCGACCAATACTTTATCGACACTGTTTAGTAAACAGTTGGAATCGCGGCGTAATAGGTAGACGAAGTCCATTCGAGCGGACCACGTATACGTCTTCGATATTAGCTCTCTACCACTGTCAATATTATTGCGCAACACAGAATATTGCGCGTTCCATATTGAGCGTTTAGGGCGTTCTTCAATCCGATATGAATTGGGAAGCGTTACGCCCTGATCTATTCTTACAATGATGGTTCTTTCTGCAGAAAATTATAAAAGAAAAATGCACTGCGGTAGGAGGCTATACGTTTGAATAACATGGAAGTCTTTGATGTTTCGGATGAACTTTTAAACGTCATTGTAGTCGTGAGTTTGTGTTAATTGAATATTCGGAGGTAGCGTCGTGCAGATGACACTATTTCGGGCAATGTGTTCCAGAAACCTCTTTCACATCTGGTAGACTCCAAAATTTAATTACATGCATAGAGTTTACAATAGGTACACGAAATATTTGCATATTATCATATTCTTAATTTTCCTATTTATAACAGTACATTGACTTAACTATAAATATTTGATATTGCAAAAATTAGAAAAATAATTTATCAAAGAAAATGTAAAATTATTTAAACGTTATATGGAGTACTTTCATAAATATTTGCGGTAAATTTACATTAGCGTAAACATTTACCGATCAGTATGATAATTCTAAAAACATCACTATTGTGAACAAGTTATGACTTCAAGCAATGTGTTTAAAAAGTCTCTTAGATTTATGATATGCATATGAATTCATGTGTAAACTCACAAGATTTATTTAAATATAAATTTACCTTTCTGAAATTTACCCAATTTGCTTAAGAAATGCGGTATAGGAAATAACATTTAAATTATACATGAGGAACGATTGTATGGACATATTGTACATTGTAATACACATATATGGAGCATTTCTCCTGTTTTATATTTGTGTCAAACGGAAATTGAATTGTGCCAAATGCAGAGTACCGTATTTAGAACAATTCAAAAAAGCAAGTTACAATTTTGTTATTGTTTCGTATCGACAATCGGCCTTGGAGAAATTGACACATGTTTACGTCATCTTTGCATATTCAATTATAGCATCTTATTTGTTATTATAAATTTAGAATTGTTTACCACATCGATATTAAATATTTCATAGAAAGCGTATTTATTGATACATCCTTTACAAATATTTATTTTTCTTATTAACACGTACTTTACTGTACCAAAAATATACATTAACCAAATTTGAATTATACGTTATCTTAAAGAAAGTTAAAATACTTTGAATATTTCATGTTCGTGTGAGAGATCAATTTCTACTGCAAATTTAGTTATATAGAATGCTATAGTCTAGTAATGCTGCATTGCAATTGCGCATTTTAACATTGAAGCTAATAAGAAAAATAAAAAGACTTGTGGGATTATCGATTCTTTTGAATATTTGACAAAGATAGATGCTGAACGATTCCATGAGAAAGAAAAGGATCATTCAAACGGACCGCATGGAATGATGATAATAACAATAATAAAGAAAGTGGCGCACGGGAAGGGAGACATGCAGGGGTGTATCAAGGTAGCTGGCGCTCGTGTAGGGTACCAATCAGCTGGTGTGCGCGGTGTTACGTTAGACAGCAGAACGGAGCAGGCTCTCCAGAAGTGACACACGTTTTCGCGGGTAAGCGGACAAAAAACTTATGCCTGCCACGTATAATGCGTTACATAATAATGCGGTCGTGCACGTGTAGTTTGACAGAGTGCGGCCGGAGGTGAAATATAACTGAAACGTTCGACTGTTTCGCGACATCGTTTTTGAATGAAAATGTGCCTACATCCGAATAGAAAGTGGGTCGTTCGTTAACTACCAGCCTCTTTTGCCGGGCACGGTCGATAATTGCTTAGGACCGAGAATCGCCGGTCGAAATAATTCGAAAATCCGAATATACAAATGTCTCACCGTGACGCCATTAAAATGGGAGGCGATAAACGATACCAGGACGTGCGAGCCGAAACAGGCACAGGCACACCCACGAAACTACAGTCGATGTGCCTTACACAGTGGTCTCTTTAGGTTATGCCGCATTTTACAAAGATGCGGGGCCCGCGAGAGCAACGATACATGTGTGCAGAATCGACCAACGCACTTTGCCGACTGAAATCAGGAGGCCAACGTGCTTCGCAATAATATTAATTGATGGGTCAAATTTAGTATTGTCTGTTAATGTCATGTCTGTCCTGCATTGTTTTCTATTATAATTTACGGGGGCTGCGTACGCCTTTTAAAGTCTCGCTCGAACATCGAACGTATCGTTCGATGTCACAGTGTCAAATAATCGATACCTCTCAGTTGTCAGGAACGATCTTTCGAACATACGATACAACACGGCGTACCGTTAAGGCATAAACGTTCGTAGTTTATTTTAACAATCTTGGTACGGTAATCATTTTCAATGTATTTTACTTTTACTTATTTACTTTTTCTTTTTTATTTTTTTTTTTTTTTTACGATAAAACTTTGTAGATAAGAATTGTCTGCATAAAAGGAAGACAAAGTGTATTGACTTGAGTAGTCTGGCTGTATCGTATACAATATTATATTCGTAATTTTCGTATCTTTTATCGCAAATATGTTAACGTATTATTATGTAATTTCAGGTTATTTTAATTTCACTTTCTCCAGTATAAGAAGTTAGTAAAAATATTTGTGGATACAGGTCACCATTATGAGATTGTTTGTAATTTGTGCCATAAATAAAACATATCTAAAATTCAAAGTAAACAAGTAGGACTCTGAAATAAGCCTTATCAATGAAAGTAAAACCGATAAAATGATTTGCTCTAATCTTTAGACTAGTTCTATGAATTTACCGAGTTTTCGAGTACAGGTAATTAACGATCACGAGCAGTTTGTTTCTCTACAGCATCTGGTAAACAATAATTGTAACCTCAATTATTAATACTTCGAAGGCACATTAATCTTCGTGGTATAGTGTTACGAAGCAGTATTTTTATACATTACACAATATTACGGTTTTTTTAGCACATACCGACAGCTCACACCTGCGTCTATAAATATTATATTAATGGACCTCACCAACTTCGTTCTCGCCATCTTTCTTTTTTTTTCTTTTTTTTTTAATATCAGAAAGACATGCTTTGTACGTCGGTCTAATCAATTGTTTTGTGTTTATTGACGAAGATCGAGACCACGGTATCCCTCGAATATGGGGGAGGAGAGATTGAACATCGACGAACCTCTATGGGATCTTAGCACTTTCGCAGGCAGATGGAAACATTTTGCCTGGGTGACGGACTTCCGGACTTGTATCGTTCCTGAATCTAAGTTGCTCGAAGCAAAAAAGCTACGTGAGGATTACAAGTAAGTATAAAGGAACTTGATTTTAGCATAAATTAATTTACTATGACACAATATAACGTAAATATGAAATTTGAAAAAGGAATTAATTGAGTTGTTGAATACGTAAATTAAAGGTCTACATGGAATATTATCAATTTCAATATATATGTATCTGAAATTTGGATATGTTATACAGGAAAAAGTAAATTAAAGTTAAAGCAACAGAGAGTAATATTAAAATATACACATATGGAAGATGGATGAAGATGTTGAGTATACTTCAAGGTCATTTTTGTTTTTTCTTTTTCTTTATTAAAAATAGATTTAGAGATTAAAGTATAGTGCATGTAGAACATAATTATAAGTTCTGTACTATTTATTCTTCACCGAGTGAAATTTATCATACCAACGTGTATACTTAAGTAAACACGATTATTGAATTCCCAACAAACTATTAAGTACATTTTTATATCAGTATAGTTCATCTCGTGTAAATATAGTTACTGTCCATTTACAGGAAAAATATCCTCATCGAAGTTTTTAAAATTCCTCGAAAAATTCGCAGATGAAATTGATATGAAATTTGAAAGGAACGGAGTATCATCGTTATCTTTGAAGAAGATACAGAGATATCATCGAGTTGTAAAATTTTCCGTACCACTTTATAGCAACATTCTCAAAATATTCTCTTCACGCCGATTTCCCTTTTTACGACTGACGAAACGATCATAACTTAAAGTATGTGATTCAAGGAACGAAGTATTTTCTTCGCGTTTTTATCATCTTCGAAGAAACATCGTTGCATAATGAACGTTATCGATGCATACAATTCGTGGTCTTAAGTATTTCAAGGTTGCGACGATATAATTACACCGTAGTAAAATTTTTCACTTGTAATAAATAAAAAACGCGATTATCTTACTTTTACATTATATTTAAAAACATACTAACTATATTAATACTTTTCTGCCTTTTACGCCTGAGTTATATTCATTGAAAATTCTTGTAATTCCCAGAGTACACGTACAGAGTCATTAATATATAATTCAATCGTTTATCAGGGGAATTCCAAAAAAATTTAATGAAAAAGAAAAGATAAAATAAGAAAAAAAAATTCAGAATAATCGATAAATTAAATTTTGAAAATCCATTAAATTCTATGATTTATTTATTAATTCTATGAAGCAATCTTGAAAGCGATTGTCACAGTGCAAATATAATGTTCTATTTAAAATATCAAAGAGTTGACCATGAAACTTCGTTTCGTGCCTCCACATTCCCATTTTTCTATAGAATTTGTATCTCATTACGCGATTTAATTCATCCGACTGACAATTATTCAATCTCGTTCTTTGTATATAAATTCGACGAAGTCCTATATAAAGGAACAAAGCACGGGAATAATTTTTTTCCATGTAATTCAAGCACCTTTTCACGCAAGTTTTGCTCGATTTATCTGCAACTAAGGCTCGCGTTGCAGGTGGTTGACCGTACATACATACGTATAATTTATGTAAGTAACCGTGGCACGGGTGATAGAACAATTTTATGGGAAACGGAAGTCATAAGGGGCATGCATTCGATCAGATCTTTATTTTAAATCGGTAACGGGTCATCGAACGATTTATATTCGACGTATTGTACAGAGAGGAGGAAGGAAAAAAGTGGAAAATAAGTTTTCCTTGAAGGCGTTGTAAATATTGTTCATAGTGCCTTTGCCTTCCCTTTTTCTAATTAAACAAACAGTGTCAGTTGGTCAGTTGTGTAATTCAGACAGTGATTATGTGATGAAATAAGTATGAAAAAGAGTAAAGAACCAATTAGCGTTTGCAGAACTATGAATCACCAAACGAAAATTTTATTTCGGAGAAGTACATCCGACGTGTTCAATTTGCATAATTGGAATTTAAACAGCACCTAAGGTGAATAGTTTCTTCAAATTTGATTCGATTCCTCGTTCGTTGTTAAGTAGAAATTCAGACAGAATTTTTTATTTATTTATTGTAATTTTGGCAAATTCTTGCAAACGTAAATATCGAAATTCGTAACATAAATTTGCACGCACCCATGTTACTTTTTTCTTTTGCGTCTACGAAAAATCAATAGTCTGTTTATCCCTTAGACTTGGGAAGGAGCCAGCTGGTACAACCCGGGAGCAAATCATCTATGCTAAGAAGCTTTACGAGTCGGCCTTTCATCCCGACACCGGTGACCTGCAGAATGTCTTTGGCAGAATGTCCTTCCAAGTACCAGGAGGAATGGCTATCACTGGTGCCATGCTTCAATTCTACAAGTACATTGTCCCTTTTGCATATTATCTGCCTTAAACTATCCTACCCCTGCGAAGAACGATACGCTTGGAATGCAAAGAATTCAAGAGGTCATTCAATTCAACTTCATTCCAACTGCAATGAGCAAAATTGAGTGCTAATCGTTTGAAGAAAGGATTAGAAAGAGTAGTGTCAACTATATAATTGAAATGTTCAATTTTTAATTTAATTTATTCTTAAGACAAATGGAGTAATGAAAAATAGAAAGATTTCAACGTTATAACAATATTAGTAATTTTGCAAAACCGCTATTTAAAAATTTCGTTGTAACAAGTAGTAGCAGAAATCATAGTTGTTTTATAAAAAATCATATTTTATTTGTGACAATGTTACAGAACAACCACGGCTGTGGTGTTTTGGCAGTGGGTGAATCAGTCCTTCAACGCATTGGTAAACTACACAAACAGAAACGCTAATAGTCCTACGACCGTGAATCAACTAGGAGTGGCATATGTCAGTGCTACATCGGCAGCCATGATAACAGCAATAGGGTGCAAATCGTTTTGGGCAAAACGAGCAAGTCCACTTATGGCGGTAAAATAATATTTTCTATCCGATAGAGCTAAAGTCAAACCTGAATTAATACTTCAATAACAAATTGAATTCGAAATGATCCATAATAGTGCAGCTTCTATAGGTTTAAATGTATAATTGCTTTCATTTTCAGTGAAGGGTCTAGTTAGTTTACTTATTATTCAACTAAGTGTGCAATTTGAAAATTTAACTATTAATATTAAATTTAATTATTTAGCGTTACGTGCCATTCGCTGCTGTAGCAGCCGCAAACTGCGTGAACATTCCCTTGATGAGACAAAATGAGATCAGTAGTGCAATTGATATCTGCGACGAGAACGGTAATAAGTTGACGAAATCAAAAGTAAGTTGTATTTGAAAAATACAGAAATTCATTATACAATAAAATTTGTCATTGAAGAGAAATAAATGCATTATTCCTTTTAGCTTGCAGCAATCAAAGGCATTAGTCAAGTAGTTATCTCAAGAATTGTCATGTGTGCACCTGGCATGTGTGAGTAGACATTAAATAAAATGTAAAATGTAAGGTCAAACATTATTGTGCATGTTACTGTAATGAAACATAAACTTCTATGGTCTAGTAATTCTACCACCCATCATGGAAAGGCTAGAAAAATACGTTTGGATGCAAAGAATTAAACCACTGCATGGACCCATACAAGTTTTATTGGTCGGTTGTTTGTGAGTATTACTTAAATATGTCTGTTTTCAATTTTTGTTTAATTTAGTAATAACTACGAGTCGTTTAAAGAACACTTGTAAATAAGAAATATTCATTAATATTTCAGTCTAACATTCATGGTACCAACAGCATGTGCATTATTCCCACAAAACTGGTGAGCTATTATAAATTTTATATATTTTTTTTCTTTTCTTGAATTTATATCAAGTGAGTGATATAATTGTTTTGTATTAAAAATTAATTTATTAACTATTTTTAACGTCAAATATTCATTTACTAACGTAAGTATTTTGCATATGTTTTGTAGCTCAATTAAATCGAGTACTTTGGAACGCTGGGAGCTCGAGAACTACGAACTTTTAAAGCAGAATTGTAAAGACAAAGAAATACCAAAATATTTATATTTTAACAAAGGTTTATAATGCACAAAGACTGTAGTCGTGATAAAAGATCATGGAGGGTGCTCTTTCTATCGCCCTGTATAAGATAGCAAGCTAATTAATAATGGGATTGAGTAAGTTTTCGCATACAATATGCCATCGGGATACTGTAGTTTTCTGCTGGTTCAGAGGATGAGAGCTCGTTCCGGAGAGAACAATAAATACGACAATATTGCATTTCGAACAATTTTTATTCTATATAGCAATACGGTTTATTTGTAAGTTTCATTATATACGTGCTATATCAGGGCATGATTCCATTTTACTATTCATTATGCATTTTCATCAGTAACGATTGCTTCCTACGATAGGAATACAATACGATCACTGACATATTAGTTAATGTGATAAACTAACCTCTTTCAGAGGCAATGTTTCAGACGGCAATAATTTGTTTCCACTGAACGCTCAATCGGCTTGTTTTAATTGAATTACGTGAATAAATATACTTTTCAATTACTTCAATCGCGGTATCATAATATCACATATTATATTGTGTCTTAGATCTTAAACAACTATCATTGTTCTATTGTTACTACCTCCTTGAACTGTTAAACGTTACAAAAAAATGCTGCCATGTATATTTTAGTAATATTACAATAAACATTCTGGATACGAAATTTGAATGAATTTGCCTTATCTTGTCGTAAATTAAAATTGATTACATAATAATATCACAACGAATATCAAAAGTAACGTAATGTAAAATATATATGTATATTAAATAGGAAGCTATATATTTGGTCGAGAATGAGTAGCTTGATTTTGTTGCGATGTATAACCAATACGTTCTTGGATTTCACTTTGCGGCACTTTACCACCCCATGAGGGAGGATTAAATGTTGGTGGTCTTTCAGATTCTTTCTTAGCTTCAAGAGCTTTCCTCATTGTCTCGTACTCTTGCAGATCGTCTAGTCGTAAATCGATTCTCGTCGGACTGCGCCGTATCATTTTACTAAGAAAAAGTTCAACATACCTTTCTTTTAATATAAAAAGATCTCACTGCGTGCTGACCGATATGTAAGGAATGTCGATAATAAAGGCCAAACGAATGAATACATACTTTCTTTAATCCTTAATACTACACAATCTGCAACATATCATTTAGAAAATAATGTTTCATTTTCAAATATCTGCATGTATTCCTAATTGCAAATTATTGTTTCTTAATACAAGTACGTAAATTTTGAATAGATTGGGGAATATCTTTTAATTTCAGAATTACACAAATTGTTACTAAAACAAGTCATTAAATTTTTCCCATATAAAATTTAAAAAATAACAAATCTTTTTATATAACATACATTGCACATTATACAATACACATAAATTTTATTACAATATTAATGAGCATACTTTTAAGAGTTAAAAATATAAAATATAGAATAAGTATAATTATAACATTTACCCAATGGAAGAAAGTATTAGTGTTTACATTAACAGAAATATTTAACTCAAATATAAAATATTTTCTACAGGGCACAGGACCACATAATGACATCCCTGAACGTTAGGTTAAGATGGCGGATTACAAGGAATAGATAACTGGCCAACAATAATTCTGAAATAAATAACACTTCTGAGAATGAATAGATTACTGAGCCATTTATATTCGCGAAAATGACATTTTTTCTACGATATTTCATACGAGTCGGTCATAAATACGCATCATTTACAGAACTAGCGTGAAAATGTGGGTACAACAAGGGATTTGGCCGCCGTAAACACGCTTCCGATCGAGTGCTACAATTTTCGTTAATTTTGCCACGGCGGCAAGCACTCCCCTTTAGTAAATTGTAAATAATTGTAAATTAAGCACCAGGCAACGAAACGCCAGCACGAAAGGATGCTTTACTTGGAAGATTATGTTGAAAGTACGTAAAAACGAGGCATGCTCTGCTTACCCAGCTTCTCAAGAAAGTTACTAACCTTTCCGAATATACTCTCTCACACAAACATTAGAAACATTTCTCAAAGCGAATATCTGAATAGATATTATGTTATCACATGTAATCATTTAAATGTTGCTTCTTATTTTACTGCCAAATAAAATATCGTATAATATAAGTAATTACTTGACATACCGTTCTGCATAAATTTTAGGTTAGTTATATGTTTTTTGAATGATCTGTAACTAACTGCTCTTACCAATATATTTTGAAGTAAAACTATAACTTACAATATTTCCTATGAATAGAATACAGACATTGTAATGTTTATATTAATTGAATAAATATTGTTTATTCTTGAGAATCTATCTTTTTTATTTTCATTTTGTTTGGTTATGTTAACCTTCTCCTTTTGCGGTTTCAGTGATCGAGCATCTACCACAAGAATTAAGAGACCGGTTCACAGAAATGAGAGAAATGGATTTAGGTGTACAGAGTATGTACATTAATATATAATAAAAAACCTTGAACTTTTCTCTTCTATACAAAATATCTTTACATAAATTTATGGACTATATCAATAAATACTCTAACTATTGCAGATTCAATGGACAGTTTAGAAAAAAAAGTAAAGATTTTTTTTGCAAACGCAAAGAAAATGAAACCTAGTGAAAAGGAAGCAGAATATGAAGCTATTAGAAGAGAATATTACAAAACATTGGAGGATGCAGATGAGAAGGTGCATTTAGCTAATCAGATGTATGACTTAGTAGATAGATATTTGAGGAGATTAGACCAGGAATTGCACAAATTTAAAATGGAGTTAGAGGCAGATAATAAAGGTATCACAGAAATACTGGAAAAGAGGTCATTGGAGTTAGATCAGCCACCTACAAATAGTAGTCAAAAAGAAAATCGATATAGCTTTACAACATCTAGTAGGTCACGAGACAATCATAGTCATTGTAAGTATTTCTTTATTCTAATTACATTTTATTCAAAATAGAAAACATTTTATATTTACATTTATAGCTCGAGCAGAGAAAAGGAGAGATTCAAATGCATCTTCTACATCAATAGAAAAACGCTTAGCTATAGAAAAAATTTCTCCAAGTCTTCCTGAATCGCGACCAGCTTCAGCAAATTCAGGACCAATTATTGCCGCTACTAGCGTGCCATCTACCCCTACAGCAATGGCGAATTCTGTCGGCTCTGTAAGTTATAATCTTGGTCACATAGGAGCTGGTGGAAATGCCATAGCAGCTGCAGCATCACAAGCAATTGCTGCAACACAGCAAATGCAGCATGGCAGACGTACTGCCAGTTTAAAAGCTAGTTACGAGGCCATTAACACTGGAGGTGTACATGCAGCTGAATTTAGTAGAGAATTAGCTGGTGCTGCTCAAACCGCCATTGCAGCTATACAAGAAACAACTAAAAAACATAAAAAGTATGCGATTGTTAAAAAATATTCGCAAATATTATGTTTGCAAATGCATTTGTAAATGCAATTAATAAAAAATATTCACAAATGTTATTTTTTATTTTAGGAAAGTAACAACTGCTGTTCCAAGTTCGAGTGTAGTTGCTGCCTCTGTCCAGCAACCAGTATCACCTCCAGTTATAACTACAAATACACAAGTTGTAGATTCGGATAATCCAGATTGGACTTATGATCCAAATGAACCAAGATATTGTATATGTAATCAAGTATCTTATGGAGATATGGTTGCCTGTGACAACTCAGATGTGAGTTAAATTTTGATTTCGTATTTCCATATTTCTGTGCTAATCAAATAAGAATATCTATATTTATTGAATAATATTTTTCCTATCATTATTTTTTTACAGTGTCCTTTTGAATGGTTTCATTATCCATGTGTGGGTATCACTGCACCCCCAAAAGGAAAGTGGTACTGTCCTCAATGTACATCTTCTATGAAGAGACGCGGAGGTCGAAAAAATTGATTGTACTCCAATCAGTGCAGATATAATGAGAAAAAATTGATACTACCTCTTAGGCATTGTCCGTCAAGTACCAACTTAGTTAGGAAGCTATTAATTCTGATTTTATATGACTTTTTAAATATGTTTAAAGTTTAAGTCGTGATCTTATCTGGTCTTGGTCTTGTCCCACAAAACTTGTATTTCTGTTTCTAAAGCAGAAAAGAGCAGTTTTTTTTTACTGCGTTTTGTAGACATAATGGAAAGATCAGATGGTGCAAAAAGTGGGCTTCGAACAAATTCCGTTTTACAAAAGGGTTTTTTGCATATAAGTATTGCAAATATTTTTTAATACTTTTTGCACCATTCTATACAGCGACCATATTAGATAGTTTCTACGAATTTACATTGAAAAGTAATCTTTTCCTCTGGTGATACACGACACTGATTCATTGACTGAGGTATCAGAGACGATTTTCACTGTGAATTTTTCGAAATTTACGTTTTTAGTTCACGCAATGTCGAGCAATCTTCGTATATTTACGTCCTCGTGTTAGTTCAGACGTGCTTAGTATCTCGCTGGATTGACGACTGTGCGAGCAATAACATTTTAAGTGTTCTACGCTTTGAGAGAGAAACGAAGCAAACAAAAGAGAAAGAAAGAAAAAAGTCGATAACAAATTGTGAGAATACTACTTTCGAAATAAAGGAATGTAGCAACTTGGTGTATAAATAAAGCGAACGATGCAGATTTATTATTTGTATTATTAACAGAGTCATAAAAGAATTTTACATTAATTGTATGCATGTTTTTTTTTTATTTTCTCTGATCGTTATAATTAATATTCCTCGTTTAAATACGTATGACTCACACTAAATTGTATATCCTATCATACAAATAGTTCAGTAAGGCACCAGAACATTTAATGTAAAAAAAAATTCGGGTATCTTGTTTTGAGGTCACTTTTATTGTTAGCGCGACCACGATCTGGTTAGCCAGTGATCTGGTTAACCTCAAATAAACCTCAAATACATATTTAACCTACTGATGTATCTTATCCTTCAAAAAAGATGCTGCTATTGAAGCAATTTCAGTTTCCACAATTACAAGCGGAAAGAAGGGAAATACGCTTGTCGATAATAATTTATAATTGACGATTCCCTATAAAAATTTTATTATAGATAAAATGCTGCTAAAACTACAATATAAAAGATACAAACGAAAGGGAAAAACCAGCGCAATTATGACATGATTCATGACGTTACTATCGGCAACCTATAATTATTGACCTTCTTCATTTCAGAGCATGTTTGACCTTGCTTTTCGTTCCACTTCAAACATTTTACTATAAAAATTGAATAACATTGTGACATATACTTCATACATAAATGAAGACATAATCATGATAGGAAGTAATTTACGCCAAATTGCTGGCAATATATTCTACACTATTTTATTGTGGCGGAAAGGATTATTGCTTCTCTATCTGTGAAAGGTCGCACATTATTTTCGTTCCGAAAGGATGTACAAGTTAATATGCTTCTCTAAAATGTATTGCAAGGTATCCTCGTTATATATAAACCAACGGGGACTTACACGCTGAGAATCTTGTTACTCTTCGGCTCACGGTACTTTCAAACGGCATAGACAGTTATTTCCTGGCATTCGAACATGTCTTGTGTGCTATTCGCGGTCTTCGCATGCATTTTAAGGAACCACGTTTTGGCGCAGAATACCATTTCTTTTGACAGCATCACGAGTATGTAATTAAGTATATAAAAATTAAAAAAAAAAAAATAAAATTGAAAAATTTTAATTATTTTTAGCTGTTTTCACGATCAGATTAGTATGTTCTTTATTTAAAATTGTTTTAAACTTGAGTCATTTTATATTTTGAAAACCAGGAATTCCTTTAAAAAATTAATTTTTATTACATTATTATTTTGTAAACTTTTTTAATTTTCTAAACAAAAAGAATTATATCGAATACATTTATTAAGACGAAATATTTATCGAAAATTAAGACAGGGATTTTTTTATTTTTGGTTACATTTGAATTTGATTCTCTAAATCTTTAAAAATTTTGAACATCTGTATTGATAGTTAAATTTTTATCAAGATAAAATTATTTTATGCTGTAAAAAGATTTTGTTTAATGATGTTTTAATGAATTTAATTTTCATTTCATAGCATAACACTTTGTACACAGATTCGAAAATTAATATTACGTTTCAATATAATCTTAAATAAATGCGTATATATATTGCTTATACAGATTTAAAAATAGAATATTTTACTATGATTTTTTAATATTTTCTGTTGTAGATCAGAATAATAATAGCATTAACAGAACATCGTGTTGCGTACCAAGGAATAATTGTCCATTTGCTAATACAGGAATTGACGTTCGAATTGTTAATACGGTACGTACGAACAATTAAGTTTAATTATATCTTAAAACAATTTTAAATAAATCAAATGACAAGTTTCTTTAAAAAATACATCGTTTTCTTTCTAATTACTCAAGGGTTCTAATTGTCCTGATGGACAAGTATACTGTTGCTCGTCTAATTCGGGAAATTTGATTGACACTACATGTGGGATTAGAAAAATTCCAGAAACTGCACATCCTCAAGGTCAAGCTAGCTATGGTGCATATCCTTGGCAAGCTGTACTTTTAACAACTGACAATGTTTATGTTGGTTCTGGGGTTCTAATTACACCAAATCATGTGTTAACTGTTGCTCATAAAGTAGCATCTTACAAGTGAGTAACTTAAATTTATATTTCACTCTAATTTCATACAATATAAGGACCTCTCTTTACATTTTCATATCACTTTTATTTGTTATTTTCAATTTAACGTTACAAATAAAGCTACTTTCCTGTAGAAATGGTGGACTTAAGGTAAGACTTGGAGAATGGAATGGACAGTCCACTACTGAGCTCTATCCATCTAAGGAATATTCAGCCCGAAAAATATCTGTGCACTCTGAATTCAATTCCATGAATCTACAAAATGATGTAGCAGTAATAACTTTAAGCGATACTGTTCCTATTTCAAGCAGTCCTAATATTAACACTGCGTGCTTTCCTACAGCAGTACCCACAGCTTATACAAGGTACACAGAAAATTTCTATTTAATATTGAATTTAATTTAGTTATTGCAATTTTACATTGCTTTTTAAGATGTTGGGTATCAGGCTGGGGAAAAGATGCATTTGGAACTAATGGTAAATACCAGAGTATAATGAAAGAAGTAGATGTACCAATTGTTGATCAATCAACTTGTGAAAATGCACTACGACAGACTAGGCTTGGACAATATTTCATGCTAAATAAAAACAGTTTCATATGTGCAGGAGGAGAACAAGGAAAAGATGCATGTACAGTAAGTGATTATTAAAAATAATGTAATTTTTATAATTTTTTTAAAACTCTAATAAAAATTTGTTTAGGGTGATGGTGGTTCACCTTTAGTGTGTCAGTCTGGAAGTGGACAATGGCAAGTAGTTGGAATGGTTGCATGGGGTATTGGTTGTGCAACTAGTAACATTCCTGGTATATATGTGAATGTATATAATTATATTACATGGATTACACAACAAATAAGTCAGAATAAGTAATTACACAAGTACGCTAGATCTAAATGCTATTCAATGATTAACTTATCTAAAATATATCATATAATATGTTAGCTATGCAGTAATTGTATACTCATATTTTGTTATAATGTCTATACAGCTTTCAGAAATTTGTATTTTTTAAATTTTTATTTCTTAATGCATATGTACATGTAAATTCATTTAAATATATTTGTATAGGAAATACTAAATATACTATTAGAAAATATAATTAAAATCCGAGGTTCGATTGCCGTATGTAGTTGTAGTTTCTTTTCTATCTATTTTTAATTTTGTATTCATTTTCCGCCTATGAAAACATTGTAAATAAACAATTGAAACAAAATTTCTTAATAAAAAAATTAATTTTTTATTCTTTCCTATGCTAGTATATATTTGTTACAAAATAATAAGAATATTATGCAAGAAAAACAGTTTTCTACAGCAACCCTATTTACAACAGAAGGAACACAAAATCATAAATAATCATTATATACAGGAAATACAAATTCTATAGTACATGGAAGTACTAATTACAATCTGACAAACTTTCTGACCTTACCGAGGAAAAGATTATTGTACAGATCATTAAAATTATAAAATAGATGAAACCAGCTGCCCATGTTACTCTACCTTCGATAGAACTCTATCAACGAAAGGACAACGGGCTGTTCATAAAAGAAAAAGCATCAATAAAAACCACCCATTCTTTTAACGCAAAATACGCATAACAATGTCAGGAAAGTTACTACATCCTGTCTTTCCGTGCATGCAGGAACAGAGACGGAAATTTCTACCGCATGTGGAGAAAAAAATAGAGGAATCAACAAATAAGTATAAAAATGTCATTGAAACCTGTTCCCAACCAGGACAAATAACGCAACAATAATATAAAACTTTATGAAAATCAGTGAAGCAACCATTTATAAATAATAATGAATTTACTGTATTAACAGCAAGCCGTTGAAAAGGCATAGAGACGATGCGGCAGTGAAAAATCACAAACTAACAACTTTCTAGCCTTAAATCTGTGAACAATCGAAACCCGAAAAAAATCATTCTTCTATTAGATAAGAGTCTGTCCTACAGAGATAAATGGAAAAAGTATTACCAGCAGTCCCCATTTCGAAGATGCAGGAGCCGACGGGAAACTACGCAGTAGCCTGTCACACAAGATCGCACTTCCGACGCTATTTTTCGAAAACGTGTTATCATATTCGGAAAAAAGTCACTGATTCTATTAGAGGCGGCTTTGCTCTACAGAGATAAACAGAAATATACATATCGGCAGACCCTGTTTCGTGAAGATAAGAGCCGACGGGAAACTACGCAGTAGTCAGTCACACACGATCGCACTTTCGGCACTATTTTTCGAAAATGCGTTATCATATTCAGAAAAAGCCGCCGATTCTATTAGAGGAGGCTTTGCTCTACAGAGATAAGTAGAAAACTTAATATCAGCAGTCCCTATTTCGTCAAGATAAGAGCCGACCGGAAACTACGCAGTAACCTGTCACACACGATCGCACTTCCGGCACTATTTTCGAAAATGCGTTATCAAATTCGGAAAACAACAACTAAATCTATTAGAGGAGGCTTTGCTCTACAGAGATAAATGGAAAAATTTTTATCTGCAATCCCTATTTCGTCAAGATAACAGCCCACCGGAAACTACGCAGTAGCCTGTCACACACAATCTCACTTCCGGCACTATTTATCGAATATACGTTACCAAATTCGGAAAAAACCAACTGATTCTATTAGAGGAGGCTTTACTCTACAGAGGTAAGTAGAAAACTTCATATCAGCAGTCCCTATTTCGACAAGATAACAGCCGACCGGAAACTACGCAGTAGCCTGTCACACACGATCGCACTTCCGGCACTATTTTCGAAAATGCGTTATCAAATTCGGAAAAAAGCAACTGATTGTATTAGAGGAGGCTTTACTCTACAGACATTAGTAGAAAGATTCATATCAGCAGTCCCTATTTCAACAAGATAACAGCCGACGAGGAACTACGCAGTAGCCTGTCACACACGATCGCATATCCGGCACTACTTTTCGAAAACGCGTTCTCAAATTCAGAAAAAAACCACTGATTCTATTAGAGGAGGCTTTACTCTACAGAGATAAATGGAAAAATTTTTATCTGCAGTCCCTATTTCGTCAAGATAAGAGTCGACCGGAAACTACGCAGAAGCCTGTCACACACGATCGCACTTCCGGCACTATTTTTCGAAAATGCGTTATCAAATTCGGAAAACAACATCTGAATCTGTTAGAGGAGGCTTTGCTCTACAGAGATAAATGGAAAAGTTTTTATCTGCAGTCCCTATTTCGTCAAGATAAGAGCCGACCGGAAACTTCGCAGCAGCCTGTCACACACGATCGAACTTCCGGCACTATATGTCGAAAATGCGTTACCAAATGCCGAAAAAAGCAACTGATTCTATTAGAGGAGGCTTTGTTCTACAGAGATAAATAAAATACTTCTTATCAGCAGTCCTTATTTCGACAAGATAACAGCCGACGAGAAATTACGCAGTAGCCTGTCACACACGATCGCATATCCGGCACTATTTTTCCAAAATGCGATCTCAAATTCAGAAAAAAACCACTGATTCTATTAGAGGAGGCTTTGCTCTACAGAGATGAATAGAAAAATTTTTATCTGCAGTCCCTATTTCGTCAAGATAAGAGTCGACCGGAAACTACGCAGTAGCCTGTCACACACGATCGCACTTCCGGCACTATTTATCGAATATACGTCACCAAATTCGGAAAGAACCAACTGATTCTATTAGAGGAGGCTTTGGTCTACAGAGATAAATAAAAAACTTCTTCGCAGCAGTCCCTATTTCGACAAGATAACAGCCGACGAGAAATTACGCAGTAACCTGTCACACACGATCGCATATCCGGCACTACTTTTCGAAAACGCGTTCTCCAATTCAGAAAAAAACCACTGATTCTATTAGAGGAGGCTTTGGTCTACAGAGATAAATAAAAAACTTCTTCGCAGCAGTCCCTATTTCGACAAGATAACAGCCGACGAGAAATTACGCAGTAACCTGTCACACACGATCGCATATCCGGCACTACTTTTCGAAAACGCGTTCTCCAATTCAGAAAAAAACCACTGATTCTATTAGAGGAGGCTTTGGTCTACAGAGATAAATAAAAAACTTCTTCGCAGCAGTCCCTATTTCGACAAGATAACAGCCGACGAGAAATTACGCAGTAACCTGTCACACACGATCGCATATCCGGCACTACTTTTCGAAAACGCGTTCTCCAATTCAGAAAAAAACCACTGATTCTATTAGAGGAGGCTTTGGTCTACAGAGATAAATAAAAAACTTCTTCGCAGCAGTCCCTATTTCGACAAGATAACAGCCGACGAGAAATTACGCAGTAACCTGTCACACACGATCGCATATCCGGCACTACTTTTCGAAAACGCGTTCTCCAATTCAGAAAAAAACCACTGATTCTATTAGAGGAGGCTTTGGTCTACAGAGATAAATAAAAAACTTCTTCGCAGCAGTCCCTATTTCGACAAGATAACAGCCGACGAGAAATTACGCAGTAACCTGTCACACACGATCGCATATCCGGCACTACTTTTCGAAAACGCGTTCTCCAATTCAGAAAAAAACCACTGATTCTATTAGAGGAGGCTTTGGTCTACAGAGATAAATAAAAAACTTCTTCGCAGCAGTCCCTATTTCGACAAGATAACAGCCGACGAGAAATTACGCAGTAACCTGTCACACACGATCGCATATCCGGCACTACTTTTCGAAAACGCGTTCTCCAATTCAGAAAAAAACCACTGATTCTATTAGAGGAGGCTTTGGTCTACAGAGATAAATAAAAAACTTCTTCGCAGCAGTCCCTATTTCGACAAGATAACAGCCGACGAGAAATTACGCAGTAACCTGTCACACACGATCGCATATCCGGCACTACTTTTCGAAAACGCGTTCTCCAATTCAGAAAAAAACCACTGATTCTATTAGAGGAGGCTTTGGTCTACAGAGATAAATAAAAAACTTCTTCGCAGCAGTCCCTATTTCGACAAGATAACAGCCGACGAGAAATTACGCAGTAACCTGTCACACACGATCGCATATCCGGCACTACTTTTCGAAAACGCGTTCTCCAATTCAGAAAAAAACCACTGATTCTATTAGAGGAGGCTTTGGTCTACAGAGATAAATAAAAAACTTCTTCGCAGCAGTCCCTATTTCGACAAGATAACAGCCGACGAGAAATTACGCAGTAACCTGTCACACACGATCGCATATCCGGCACTACTTTTCGAAAACGCGTTCTCCAATTCAGAAAAAAACCACTGATTCTATTAGAGGAGGCTTTGGTCTACAGAGATAAATAAAAAACTTCTTCGCAGCAGTCCCTATTTCGACAAGATAACAGCCGACGAGAAATTACGCAGTAACCTGTCACACACGATCGCATATCCGGCACTACTTTTCGAAAACGCGTTCTCCAATTCAGAAAAAAACCACTGATTCTATTAGAGGAGGCTTTGGTCTACAGAGATAAATAAAAAACTTCTTCGCAGCAGTCCCTATTTCGACAAGATAACAGCCGACGAGAAATTACGCAGTAACCTGTCACACACGATCGCATATCCGGCACTACTTTTCGAAAACGCGTTCTCCAATTCAGAAAAAAACCACTGATTCTATTAGAGGAGGCTTTGCTCTACATAAACTACGCAGTAGTCTGTCACACACGATCGCACTTCCGGCACTATTTATCGAAAATGCGTTATCAAATTCGGAAAAAAGCAACTGATTCTATTAGAGGAGGCTTTGGTCTACAGAGATAAATAAAAAACTTCTTCGCAGCAGTCCCTATTTCGACAAGATAACAGCCGACGAGAAATTACGCAGTAACCTGTCACACACGATCGCATATCCGGCACTACTTTTCGAAAACGCGTTCTCCAATTCAGAAAAAAACCACTGATT